ATAACTGGCTCACCAGGACCTGTGTCGCCAGCATATGGCCTCCAAAGGTGCCTTTGGACGCCTTGAAGCTGCCGCCCTGGGTGCTGTGGGAGGAGCAAGTGGAGGAAGTGGAGGAGGAGGTGGAGGAAGTGTTGCGGGAGGTGCAGTGGGAGGCGGAGGTACAGATTCGAGAGTGAGCAGCGTTTCGTCCCAGTTCAGCGACGGCGCCCAGCCAAGCCCCAGCTCCCATAGCAGCACGCCCTCCTGGTGTGAGGAGCCAGCTCAGGCCAACATGGACATCTCTACTGGTCACATGATACTGGTTAGTACTCGATGACGCGTAAGTGCTACCTCTGAGGAAGACAAATTTAATAGCTAAAACCTTAGAAAGGGATCATTCAAAAGGTTCACAAGAAGATTTATGAAAAATTGAAAAATCAGATAAAGTCAAATTTACTTAAAGAGTATCTTTACTCTTTAAGTAACTCACTGCTCATTTTGATGTTAAAAACATTTATAAACAGTCGCCAAATACTCATAACAACAGGACTTGTGTGTAAATATTTTGCTGGCTCTTCATTTTTTTGCCGCCACTTGTCTCAGTTGTAGGATCACCAGGTAGCTACAGGATGAAGGATACTCTACGTTATTCTCTATTTTACTCTAAAATGGAAATTGATTTACAAAATTAACATTGTGTTATATTAAAGAAAACTTAAAATAGCAGTTGAGCCCATAAACTCATTAGACAAGTGTTGACTGAGGTCATTAATAACGTGAAAAGGCTGATTTTCAAATAGATTTCTATACAGTCAGACTTCTTCAAGCGCCCCCTGCTGGCCATTAGAAAGAATGCAGGTTTAAGGCTTTTATATACAGTGTATATACTGGCATTGGTAAGATTTTTCCCAGAGTAAAAATGCACATGAGTTTGGGCACATCCAAAGTGTTAGATGCTTACTCTAAAACTGGGATAAATTTAGTTTTAATTTGCTTTATTATTTTTAAAATCCTCAACTTTGGGTCAATTTGTTAAAAGGTCTAGACAACACATACATGGTTCTTCATATAATGGAAAGATAGGACTGAATGTCCTATACTCCTAAAGGCTTACATGGAGGACCACTTAAGGAACAAGGACAGGCTGCTGAAGGAATGGGAGGCTCTGTGTTCCTACCAGGCCGAACCCAGCGCTGTCTCCGTGGCTCAGAGCGACACCAACGTGAAGAAGAATCGCTGCCCTGACTCGGTGCCCTGTGAGTTCCTCAACAACTTCACTCCCATCAGCATTAAGTATCCTGTAAAAGTTGCTCTGTTAAAACACGGGGCAAAAAAACTGTCTGAAAAACCCTGAGAGTTTGAGGCTGCTTAATATTGAATTATATGAAGATTTTAAGTGTATCTGTGTTCTCCAAAAAGTTGATTCTGTTCATCTAGACTTAGCGTTTTGTAGGAGAAACGTTTTGTCACTCATCAAAGTGACTTCTTCAGTCTCAGCTGACTGCAGGTTTCCCCAATCTTATAAACAGTACATTTGCATAATGACTGAAACCAGCCCACTGAAGGAACAATGGGCTGGGAGGTCAGTTCCTTAATCTTAATTATGAAAATTCTCATGACCATTGATCAACAACCACTGACCAAAACCCACTGATCAAAGACCACTAATCAATGGCCATGAGTGCCATTCACAGAGAGTTGGGGAATGGCTGCAATCACAGCATTGTAAGATGAACCCTTAGGCCCCCTCCTCGATTCAGAAATGGTCTTTCCCTTTTCACATAAATGGCCTCCTTGACTCCGCGCTCAAACAGCGTTCCTCCCTGTCTAAGATGTGTACATCCTCATCCTTGAAAGAGGGTCCACTGGCCTGTAGGTGTAAATAGACTGCAGAGTCCTGGCCTGACGAGTTAGCTCTTCTGTGTTGTGCCATCCGCTTCGCCAGAGGTTGTTTGGTTTCCCCGATGTATAAATCCTGGCAATCCTCCTGGCACTTAACAGCGTACACTATGTTACTCTGTTTGTGTCGGGGAACCCGATCCTTGGGGTGGACCAGTTTTTGGTGCAGCGTGTTTTGGGGTTTAAAAGCCACAGAGTTTAGAAAAAATGCGTCTCAACTGCTCCGATACTCCTGACACATACGGGATCACTACAGGTTGATCACTTGGGCAGCGGTTGTCCTTCTCTCCTGGATCAGCTGGAGCTTTCTTTAGGTGTCTTTCCAGCTTTGACAAAAGTCCAGCTGGGATAACCACATTTACTCAGGGCCTTCTTGATGTGCCGTTCTTCTGCCTCCCTGGCTGCTGTGTCAGTGGGGATGGTGTTCGCTTTGTGCTGTAGCGTCCTGATGACGCCCAGTTTGTGCTCCAGTGGATGATGAGAGTCAAACCTTAAATACTGATCCGTATGCGTAGGTTTACGGTACACATCAGCTTTTAGATGTCCCCCATTACTGATGGAAATCTCACAGTCTAAGAAGGCTAACCTGCCACTTTTCATATCCTCCCTGGTGAATTTGATGTGTCGGTCCACCGAGTTAATGTGATCCGTGAATCGTTGTAGGTCCTGAGATTTGATTTTTACCCGGGTGTCATCCACATATCTGAACCAATGACTTGGTGGTGTTCCAGGGTAGGATAGCAAAGCCCTCTTTTCCACTTTGTCCATGTACAAATTGGCCACGATGGGTGAAACTGGAGAGCCCATGCACACCCATGTTTCTGCCTGTAGAACTGACCCTTGTATGTGAAATAGGTGGAATTTAGACACAGTTCCAAAAGCAAACACACTTGGTCGATGCTGAGAGTGGTCCTGTTGATGAGGTTGGTGTCATCTTGTAATCTCTTACGGACTACCTCCAACATTTCCATGACAGGCTGCACCAAAAATGGGTCCACCCCAAGGATCAGGTCCCCCGACACAAACAGTAACATAGTGTCTGTGAAGGTTCTCAGTCATCCAGGTCATCGTAGTCAAAGGAGCTTGCAAAGAAAAGCGTCTGGACTTTTTTAAGTTACTTGAAGACGTTTCA